TCGAAACTTTCTTGATATTAACCAACAGGGGCCCCCGTAGTTGCCCTACCTGAGAAGATCAGGGTTCAAGTTTTAAGGGGCTCTGCTGCATCTCCCTGCTCAGCATCATCTGGCAAAAATCTCATACCTACTCCACCCCGCCCCCAGGGCCTCAGCAGGTGACTGGTTCTGGATACAGGAACATCCAGGTAAAGTGAGGTGGGTCACTGGACCCTAACCCAGTGGGAGTGTCGTCTTTGTAACACGGGAGGAGGACCAGATGATGGCCCTTCCTGCCACACGTGGATCTGACTCCTAGTCCTTAGTACAACAGGAAATACAAGTGTGAACCCCTCCCACCCAGCCTCGCCCTAGCTGCCAGGGGAGCAAGTTTGCCACCGCTGCCTAAGCAGGCTCACACCGACTCTGAATTCTCTCCCCGGGTGGGAAACCACACACCCCATCACAGAAGCGAGATGATGGGAACTGTTCCCCTGAGGAACTCAGGCCCCTGAGTCAAAGCCCGCTCTCTCTCTCTCAGACACACACACACACACACACACACACACACACACACACACACACACACTGCTCCCAGCATGCTGCAGGCATGCCCCTGAGGATGACATGAGCCATTGCCATCCCTGCCCCCTGGAATCCAGGGTCCTTCTCCCACCCATAGCAGCTCCCCACCTCTTCTCAAGGTAAAGAACATCTCATTTCGTCCCCAGAGAACACACAGAGACCACATGACGGGGTCTCCCCGAGGCCCTGTGTGCCCCAGGTGGGGGCTGTCCCACCTGCCATCTCCCAGACGCCCACGCGTGCGGAGGCATGACTTCAGAACGGCTGGGAACCCTGACATCAAGGAGGGATCAGAGGCGATGGCTTTGATGGCTTCGGCATCCCACCCACCACGCCCACGCTGCTCGCATTAAGGAGCTGTCACTCACAGCAGATCTCAAGGCTGGAATTTTCCTTTCAAGCAGGAGACGACTCCGGAGGGGCGAGGAGGGTGGGAGGAGGACATTAATAATCACAAATTCTCCCTCTTACGAAGACTGGGGTGGGGGAAGTGGCCCAGTTCCACGGGGTCATTGTTTTTCTAACAGAGGAGGCTGCGTGCCTGCTGATCAAGCCTGACCAAGCTCTGGCCAGCTCTCCCCATACCAGAAAGGCCCCAATATTACACTCAGATCCTGTCTCCCCAAATTTGCTTTTTCCCTGCCCAAAGCCTGGGAAGCTTCCGGCTGAGCCGGGACAGCCTTGTTGGTTCTGCTCTTGCCTCGCTCACAGCCCTTCCTGTCCTCCATCCTGCCTCCTGGACTATCAGTTTCTGCCAGTCACCTGTCTCTGGCTTCCACGGTGAGCCGAGTCAGTCCTTGTTGTTTTGCACGCAGTAGGATGCTTATGTCCTCTGCCCACAGGGGCCAGCAGCCTTGGTAAAGACCCAGTCAGTGTCCAGCTGGGGCCAAATGTCCCCTGGCTGCGCACTCCAGTCACTGCTAAGCTCCACATACAGGTCCTGCTTGGGTCCAGCCCCGGTTGAGCCGCTCAGAACTTCAAACACAGGGTAACTTGGTGTCAGTATTTTTAGCAGCACAGCTGAGGCCAAGAAGCACTCCAGGGACTCGTCTCTCCAGCGTGTCAACCACTTCATCTTATTCATCCCTGACTTTTAAAACAGCCAACAGCTTCTCAGGAAACTCTGAAATCACCCAGCTGCTCGGCATGGTGTCAGAGGCCTTCCCCCGCCAGGCTGGGGCCCTGTTCATGATTGGCCTCCCCTCCCAGCAGTCTCACGCCCCATCTCCTTTCCTCAGCGTGCCAGGTAGCCCAAGCCCTGGGGAGGCTCCTGAACCACCCAGCTGGTCATCCGTCCAAGTTGTGGATTTGCCTACCATGTTGCTCACCTGTGCATTTCTCATCCTTCCATTCCCATCCCTGTGCAGCAGCTGTCCTACCTGCACCCCTCACCCCTGGAGAACCGACCATCTTATGCGACTGTTTTCTTCCCTAATGTACCCGTCATCACTCACTCCCTCCCAACTCTGAGCTTCTTGGTGTCCCCCAAGCCCCTGCCACCAGCACCTGCCATGGAAGAGCCCAGTGATGATGCCACACTCTGCCCAAATCTCCTCAAAACTTCCTGTTTATCTCACTCCAAGAGATACCAGAGCCATGCAGGAAAGCCAGGCCGTCCAACAGGCTTCTCTGTGGCACCACGGTCATTCTCACAGTGACTCCCAAGGACCACAGCAACAGGTGCTGGGGACATGGGGTGAGCAAGCCCCAGAACATGAGCCCACAGGTGCCAGAGCCACAGGCCGCTCACCTGTGCTCCCAGCTTCTCTAGATGCCATCAGCTAGCCATCTCCCCAGCAAAGCTCCAGGCAGGTGTGCCATCCGCTCCAACCCCCCCACCCCCACATCCTTCAGCAAGCCCAGGCACCCCAGTGTCACTCACCCCAGCTATATGAGAAGCTGCCATTTCCTGGGTGACTGGGGTTGCGGGGTGGAGGCTCACTCTCCCAGGGGGCTTCCTAACCTGCAGATCTCCAGTGTCATTTGCCCCCTCCAGTCCTGCGACGGCCCCCAGGTGAACTGCAACACCTTCACAGGCCCTGTGAGCCCGTTAGGACCCCTTCGGTCTCCACCTCCTCCCCAGGCCCCACCCCTGTGGACAGCAGACCCCTTTCTGTACAGAACAGGTCAGGCTTCCTGCCGCTCCACAGCCCGGCAGAGGCCACATCTACCACCCAGAGCATCCCCCTTCTTCCCGCCTAGACCCCTCTCTCTGCTTTTAGGCTGAAGCACATTCAGTCAGGCATTCCACCCTCTGCCCTTCATGCAGTGTTGGGTCACTTCTGGGGACAAGCGTGACAAATGATACCTCCTTCTGCTGCACTGCTTAGCGTCTGTGCGCCCAGCAAGCCACTTAACATCTCTGAGCCATGAAATGTGATCATGATCACATGGGCACATCACGAGATGCTGTATCTAGGTCCTGGCCTGAGACACACATGCTGGACAGCAAAGACACACTGACCAAGCAACAGATGGCCCCCACACCAGTGTTCATTCCTTTCATCAGGGCCCCGACCCAGGAGGCTGGACTTCTGGTCTACCAGAAGGTCTGGGCCAACATGCATCCCTTGGTGCAGCCTTTTCATTTCGTCTCCTGCTCCAGGGAGCTCTGTGATACCACCAAGCGCCCCAGAACACACCGACAGGACCTTAGCTAGCACAAGGTAGAGGTTCCAGAACAGTGTTGCAGGTGGAGGCAGGGCCTGTGTGCAGAGAGAAGGTTCAGAGGCCTGGGCCTCTGCAGAGGAGGGGGTGTGAGCAGGGCACAGCTGGAGGAGGAGTGGGAGACTGGCCCAAGGGGAGAAAAAACTTTCCCAGAGAAGGAAACCGGAGAGAGAGCAGGGGTTTCTACAAAGCTGAAGAAGACCCCAAGGCGAGAGCTCCCTAAGTCCGCAGCTCCAGCTCCTAGCACTGTACTGGGAGCAGGGATAGGCAGGCCGGGAAGGCAGTCAGGAGATGCAGCGAGACATGGGGGTTGCAATAGGAGGCTGAGTGGCCAGACTGGTGAAAGCTGGACTTGATCCTATGGGCGTGGGCTGCCAAAGGGGGCAGTAGGGGCTAGGGGTGTGTGTGTCCAATGGAGGGGAGTCAGGGACAGGAGTGTGGTGTGTGTGTGTGTGTAAGGAAGGGAGGGAGTCCAAGCCAGGAATGTGGTAGGTACGTGTAAAGATCTCATGCAGAAAAAGCAGCTGAAAGAAGAAGCTGGAAGGCTGGAGACCCAGACACCTGTCAGAATCCAAGGAAGGGAAGATCAGCAGTTAGGTTGGAGGAAAGGCCCAAGATTTGCTAACAAGCTGAGCCTCTCTCTCCAGGCAGTCCCTGCCGAGGCCTCCCAGCCTGAGCTGCCGCCCCAGGGGAAGCCAGCAGCCTTGGCACAGAGCCTAGAAGGTGATTTAGGGCTTACTGACACCAAACTAGAGCTGTTTGCTCTGCTCTCAGAAGCCGTGCCTGCAAAAGGGACTCGTGGCGTTGTTCCCAGCCCAGAGAGCAGCGGTGCCGACGCCCCTCCCGGCTCCCCAACCTGCCGCAGCCACACCACCTTCTTGAAGTGGATAGACCTGGTGTGTCCAGGACCAGCCCGCATGACAAGCACTGGGGAAACCAGGGCAGTCGGTCACCGACCTCTCCAATCCGCTGAGCCCCAGAGGCTCAGAGCAAGTTGTCCAGCTTGTCACAAAACATTGGGCTAATTCCACTCAATGGGATAAGGGCACCGTGAAAAGCACCCCAGACAGGAGGGGGGGGTGACAAGTGAGCCGAGGCTGTATCCCCTAGAGCTGTCTTCCTCTGCCCTTGATCTTAAAGGGTCTGGGACAAACTGGGCCACATCCCCAGCAACCACTTCAATCACAGGTATATTTGCCTGGGAAAACGTTGGCAAGACAAGGGCCAGCCTGCAGCCTGCAGACAGAGGCGCGCGCGCACACACACACACACACACACACACACACACACACACTGCAACTGCTAACGGGTCTCAGGCACTGGGGGGGGGGGGGCTGGATCCTTCACACGGCACCATTTTCAGGGTCTGTATATCTGACACGGCAGTTTGGGATCCGAACCAAACAAAAACGCTCCCGGCACATCTATGCCTGACTCCAGCCTTGGCAGGGCAGCCTTCAATCTGAAGCGCTGGGGCTGAGCTGTCTGCCGCAGCCTGCTCTGCGGAGTAACAGGTGGCCTTCCTCTCCAGCAGACAGACGACTGCGCGGGCTTTGGGCTATGCACTAGGAACAGGTTATAGGAGAGCCAAAAGCGCACACACACCACACCACACACACACACACCACGGCAGCGAGTCATTTAACATGCGGGAGCAGCGAGACCCCAGGACCCCCACCTTAACCCGTCTTCGGACACCACCCGGACTCCCACACCCCACGCCCCCGCACGCCCACGCCCCCAAGGCCCACGGGAGGGGCCGGGGTTACCTTGGGCAGAAAGGCCATCCTCGGCCTGTACTGCTGGCCTTGGTGTCGGATCGTCATCGTGGACCCTGCAGCAGGCACGGCGGCCCAGGGAAGGGCACCCGCGCACACCCGAGGCCCTCGGAGGGCGCCGTGCGCGCAGGGCGCAGGGCCCGGGATGCTGCTCCAAGCCGCCCCGCGACTCCGCCGACTTGGCCAAGCAGCTGGAAGCGCGCCGGCCAATCAGCGCGCCGCGCCGCGGACTCATTAGCATGCGCGGCGCCGCGCGCACCTGCCGCCAGGGGGCGCGTCCGGCTCCGCCTGCGTCCGCGGAGCTCCAGGTGAGAGGCGCGGGCAGGCGGGGGAGGATGCGGAGGCGTGGCAGGTGCAGCAAATAGAGAAGCGGGCCGTACCGAACGTGAGCTGGCCCATCCCAGCTCTGCCGGCAGCTTTGGGTAAGTCCCTTGAAAGCGCTCAACAATCACTGTCTTATCTAAAAAGGAGGGAAAAAAAATTAATGAGATTATGATATTCAACAGCCAGATTAAATTACCACCGCGAAGTAGGGAAATGTGTTACAGCCCAGAGGTTTGGAAGCAGGGAGAGGAGGAGGAGGAGCGGAGGGAAGGGAGGGCGGGAATCAGAGATGTTGATTTCTAGACCAAATAACAGAGGTTTAAAAGTGAAGGACAGTCATGGTACCTGCTGAGCTGGATAGCCCTCAGTGACTCCCAGGGATGTGTTGGTTTTCAGAGGCATGTTAGAGGCTCTCAAACGAAATGAAAGATTTAGGACCCCTCCCCCCCAAGCCAGCTCCTCCACCCACACACTCATGGCCTCCCCCCAGATGAAGCTATTAAGATTAAGTTAGAACTGATGAGCCCCCACGAAGACTTGGCCATCTCCAGAGTATGCAAGGGTGAGACCCCTAAGTCAGCACCCGCGCCCGGGCAGCTACATCTGGTGCAGCACCTGCACTTAGTAACACCAAGCACAACAGAAAGGTGTGCGGTGGGAAGACACAGGCAGCCATTGCAGCGTTTATAAAAACATTGACTGATTGATTGCAAAGCAAGAGTGACAGACAGAAAGTGGAGTGGGGAGAGAAATCTTGCATCTGCCAGCTCACTCCCCAAACGGTGTGACAGTCAGCACTGGGCCAGGCCAAAGGCAGGAGCCTGGAACGCCATGCTGGACTCGCTCAGCAGAGACAGAGGCCCAAGCACTTGAACCAGGCCTATTAGCAGAGAGCCGATGAGCAGCAGAGCAGAGTCCCCAAGCAGCACTTCTGCAGCAGATGCCAGCAGCTGCACCATGACCTTGGCCCCTTACAGCAGCAGCACCTGTTCCTATTTTTTGTCATATTTATCTATAAGAATCTAAAGAAAATTATGGGGCCTAGCACAATGGCCCAGTGGCTAAATCCTCACCTTGCATGGATCCCAAATGGGTGCCAATTTATGTTCCAGCTGCTCCACTTTCCATCCAGCTCCCTTGTGGCCCAGAGAAAGCAGTCGAGGATGACCCAAAGCCTTGGGACCCTGCACCTGTGTGGGAGACTTGGAAGGGGCTCCTGACTCCTGGCTTTGGATCAGCTCAGCTCTGGCCATTGTGGCTACTTGGGGAGTGAACCAGTAGATGGAAGATCTTTCTCTCCGACTGTCCTTCTCTGTGTAAATCTGCATTGCCAACAAAAAATAAATCATTTTTAGAAAGAAAGAAGGTTGTGAGTGCTGATGAAGTATGCTCATGTATGTGAACATGCGAACACACACACATACACACACTTCCATACGACCCTGGCTTGAGTTTACCGACACAGTGCTTGGAACCTTCTGGAGCCTTTTTAGAAACCCCGGAATGGGCACATCCAGTATGGAGGACATGGGCCCCACTGGGCTTCACCTGTGCTAGACATGAGAGACTGAGGCAAGCAAAGCTGATCCCTGAAAAGTGTGTTCCTGCTGGGAGTAGCTGACAGCCAAGGAAAGTGCTGGAAAATCTTGACATCTTTCCATGGGGCACCCTGGTGTGTTCCACAAAATACAGTCTGGGATACGCACAAGGAGGTGACCCCTGAGGCTCTGTCCAGCTCCGGAATTCCTTCATTCTAGAAATCCGAATCCAAGAGAAGGTGAGGGCCTTTCCAGAGAGGAGGCCCAGAACTGCAGGAGCTTCTCTCTGGCATAGGGTAAGAGAGACCTCAGAAGGCAGGTTACCCTGCTGCATGCCCCTTCACCCAGCAGGCTTGCCCTGCAAACACCCACATGGCACAGTCACCCTGGGCTGCTTGGCTGGGGGTGCTAGGTGAGGGACCCAGAGCTCAGGCCCAGTGGTGTGGCCAGGATGTAGAGCTGCAGAAACTCGCTGAACTTGCTGTGCTAGACTGTTCTTCTTGCCAGTGTCAGCTGGAACTAGAAAGGGAAGCAAACAAACCAAACGGGCGGGGAACAGCGAAGGAACCAGGAGCCACGAGCCACACAGAGCGGCCCCTTGAGCTACAGCAGCCCAAGTCTGTGCGGGGACAAGGATGTCTGCTTGCATTCTCCAACATGTCTCTTTGTGTCTTTTTTGTTTTGTTTTGTTTTGCTTTGCTTTACTTCTCTATTTTCATTTCATTCATAAGGCAGAATCTTCCATCTACTGGTTTACTCCTCAAATGGCCACAGTCGTCAGGACTGGACTGGGCCTATGCCAGGAGCCTGCAACACGTTCCAGGGCTTCCTCATGGCTGGCAGGGACCCAAGCACTTGACCCGACACCTGCTGGCTCCTGGGGCACACATTACCAGGCTCTGCAAGCAGCCACTTGGCCACGGCATAAAATGTGTCATTTCTTGTTGGCAACGCCCGCGTCGCCACGTACCCCGAGCCCCGAGCTGAGCGGAGGGACTAGGGTTATGAGACAGACAAGACAGACAACACACACAACACACTGAGGCTCATTAAGTGAAGCCTTTATTCAAAGTCGAACTCTCTTATATAGTCTGCTTGGCCCCTCCCAGGATTTTCCCAATGGTTAAGCAACACCTAAGCTCCCCCAAGGACGTGCAAAAAGGGGAAGCAGGAAGGAGGGAAATTGTAGTCAAACCATGAGGGCTAAATGTATCAGGCCATGATTGCCCTTCCTGTTACACCTTTGAGAAACAAGCTGTGCTGTGGAGTTAACCCTTGGGAGACCCAGCCATGCAATTTCTCACAACCCGAAGGGCCTAATGTGTAATGTGGTGTTAGAAGCTTAGTGATAGGCACAATAGGCCCATAGCTAAAGCCTCACCTTGCATGCACCAGGATCCCATATGGGTGCCCGTTTGTATCCTGGCTGCTCCACTTCCCATTCAGCTCCCTGCTTGTGGTCTGGGAAAGCAGTCGAGGATGGCCCAAAGCCTTGGGACCCTGCACCTGCGTGGGAGACTTGAAAGAGGCTCCTGGCTCCTGGCTTTAGATTGGCTCAACTCTGGCCATTGCAGCCACTTGGGAAGTGAACCAGCAGATGGAGGATCTTTTGCTCTGTCTCTCCTTCTCTCTGTAAATCTGACTTTCCAATAAAAAATAATATAAATCTTCTAAAAAAGAAAAAAAAAATGTTTAGTGATAAAATCCTGGAAGAAAGCACTGGTTTAATTCACTTACTCATCGAAACAATTCATCCGTGTACCAGGCTGGAGTCTGGAACTCAAAATGGGAATTGCCTGTCTTAATAAGCTGAAACGGACTGGTGCTGCGTTATAGCATGATGAGCCTCTGCCTGCAGTGCCATCATCCCAGATGGGCACTGGTTCGAGTTCCTGCTGCTGCACTTCTGGTCCAGCTCCTTGCTAATGCAGCTGGGAAAGCAGCAGAAAATGGTCTAAATGCTTGGGTCCCTCCTGCACCCACGTGGGAGACCCAGATGGAGTCCCAGTGGACACAATAGAGGACTTCGTGCCAGGGCGTCTTTTCCAGCCTGCCTGCAAGAGAAGGTTAAGGAAACTTCCTGGAGGAGTCTTAGAGGCAGATGGGAGCTGGCTGGGAGACCAAGGCCCAACACATTGCACCAGAAAAGGGCCAGAGATCACACTCAGCAGGACTGAGGTGGTGACAAGGCATCTGCTGGACCAAGGGGCTGGTGGGTATGCAGAATTTGGGTCCGGGACTGGATAAAAAGGATGTAAGGAAGCTTGCCGGAGTCATAGACCCATGAGTGTGTGAAAGCAGTGGGCACATACAAAGAAAAGCTTGTCAAAACTCACCCAACGGCACACCGACTGACAACTTGAGCCTGCCATTGTGTGTAACCCATGCGATGGGAAAAAGCAAGCGTTGTCCTGTGACATGGCAGAGGGCTGTGGTGCTGCACGGGTCCTCCTGTGACTCAGTATATGACATCATCCCCACCACCATCACCGTGGGCATCCCTGTCCTCCTCATCAGCCATAGGGTGTGATCAAAGTGCTACATCGCAGTCATAGGGCCCTGGATGCCATACTACATGATCCACGCAGCCTTGCACCTTGTCCCCTGTGAGATAAGAACTTATCTGGTTGCAGGAACAGGACCGACCTTGCACGCACTCTTGCAGCCATGCCCTTTAAAACTAGGTTGAAAGTCATCTCAATCAAATGTCTCAACACCCAGAGGCAAATCAGCCATTTAGTTCAATCACTGTGTCACGTGTTGTCCTGAGGCCTCTCTCCCTGTCTGGACCGGGTCAGAGGGAATGCCACACCTTAAAGGTCTCACTTCTAGGGCCAGTGACATAGCATTGTAGGTTAAGCCTCTACCTGTGGCACCAACATCCCATAGGGCTGTTAGTTCGTGTCCTAGATGCTCCACTTCCTATCCAGCCCCCTAGTAATAGCCTGGGAAAAGCAACAGAGAATGGCCTAAGTCCTTGGGTCCCTGCACCTGTGTGGGAGACCAGGAAGAAGCTCCAGGCTCCTGGCTTCAGATTGGCTCAGCTCTGGAGAATGAGTCAGCAGATGAAAGATCTCTCTCTCTCTCCCCTTTGTAACTCTTTTTCTTAAAAAGCTCATTTCTGCATGATGGGTGCAAAAGGTTGTTTATGGTAGAAGCGTCCAGAAAGGGGTTTCTTAGAGGCCAGGCAGCATTAAGAGGAGCTAACTCAGACGTAGAAGCTCCGAGAGGACAGCATCCATGAGCAGCCATCACCCTGCCTGGGCCAAGGAGCT